ATATCCGGATGGCACTTGAATGAGGCTGCTAAACGGTCCGGAATAGTCTGTAATGTGAACCCTTCTGGAACCAAGGCGCAGAAGGTCAGCGAAATGTACCCCCAGAAATCATCGTACTTAGGTGAGAAAAACTTGAGAGGTGAAGATTTATGGTGAAATACCCCCCAACTAAAACACATTATTCAGAGTACAAGTTAGAGACAAAGATCAACTATACCTTTATCTGAAGTTTATAAATCGGCTTTGGCCACCTAACCGAATTTCACCTAAGTCACGACGCAGTAAACATGATTTTGAGTTGCCAGGTCCCCGCATGATAAGCAGGCTTAAGTGTCGCACCACTACGTTCAACCAAAACAGTAAGGATAACGGATAACCAGACAAAAACATTTTTCGCCTTAACCACGACATCGCTTTGACACGGAAAAGCCTAACCTCTGATCCGTCTAGGAGTTGAGTGAATTTGCCTGCTGCTCGATTTTTTGCGTCGAAGCTTAGGAAGGGAATTTGGGTTCCGGTTTCCTCTAGATTTGAGACCACCGGAATCTACCCGAGGGGCAAGTTTTATTCTGCACACATTGGTCGCACGATCGACACACAACTCGAGTGATAAGATCACTTCTCATTTGTACCGCTGTTCAGATTAGCAAGACGGGTTCATGCAATCCTTACCGAACAGTAGGTCAAGGACTGTCGGCCACTGGATTAAGTTTCGTCTTCGAAAAGCTAAACGGAAATCCAAAATTTTATAAACGGGAAGGCTGGGAGATGGTTCCATTTGGGTTCCTGCTAATGGAACCCTCGGGGCTTAGCTATTAGTCGATTAATGATAAGTAGCGGCCACAGTATTACTGTAAAGAATTGGAGCTGGGGTCAGGAATGAAATAAATGTTGGAATCTCATTAGCCGCAGTCTAAAAACTATCCTGTTAAGATAACATGTGCCTTCCTATTCGGGCGGTTGTCAAGACAGTCGCCACACATGCGGATGACTTACTGTCGACATATACACTGTTATATGACCTGGAACTCTGTCGGCGGTCACTGGGACCTGCGAAGCACAACCGATTCTTAAGTTGATGTTTTTAGGCCTTTCGACAGAAACGAAGAAAATTACAACGAAATACCCAGAGGCTGTGAGATTACACATGGGAGATCCCAGGTATTAAGGCAACGAACTGTTATTCACCTTTTGCTCCCCACTTAAATTTTGTTTCACTGGGGCGCACCACTCAGTGGCTCCAGGTGAACAAGTCCTTTACTGCGTGAGTGCCGTCCATAAAACGCACACACAGAGAATTAAGACGAGTAATGAGATCAGTTTGTTGTCAGCCATACTGGCATGCCGGGTTTTTAAGTAAGCTGACACTACAGTCCTTCTATTCATTTCAGGGCGCAAATAACACCAAAACCCTCGCCCACCTTGCGGGAATTTGCACTTTCCCATCGGAAGTTAAAAACGCCCAACGAAATGCAACATTTCATATCATCATGTTCACCCTTTTGAAGTTTCCTGGTTGGGCGGCTGGGGTCACAAAAATCTCACAGTTTATGGAGAGCAAGTCCTCCAGGTCCCACATTACTGCCAAATGTGAGCTAGTTTATTCAGCTGCATAGCGCGGATGACTAGCTGCATTTGTCGTCCACAGATGACTCTGAGCAATTTTAACTAACAGCCCGAACTATCCCCTCAGCTTTCGGTGGTATACTCATGACAAAGTCAGATCTATTTGCATTTCTCAGGCAATGAATTCAAAATACTTATTACCTGACCCATTTATAAACTGTGGAACTGCTGTTAGTAATCTTGGTTTCTGGTTCACAATGAAAAGTGGAATTAAGGTGCTTGAATAATTCCTGTTTCGACAGTGCAAATCGGGCTGGCTGGTAGGTCTCGGCGTTCGTCAGGCCCGGAGTGGTGGGGCTGCAGGGCAGTGGTCCCTTCATGGGAGGCAAATAGGATGGCGTGTAGACAGTGTTGGTGTATCCTAAAAGCTTCCCGAAATGTAAGTTTTGGTTGGTGTTGGACAGAAAAGGGAGCACAAACTGGACTTTGGCCGTTGTCAAGGGGCTTCCGCGCAACAAATGAACTTTCCTGTCCACCTTTGCGAACCAGCTCAATCGCAGCAGTAGTGTTGGTCACGAAATTTTTGGACCGAATAATTGCTGCATTGACATGGCTACTGAAGTATTAAGACTCGTTTTCCACGCACATATACGCTTGATAAGTGGTGAGCGTATTTCTTCGGAAGGGTTCGAATTTCAACGATCTGCACAGATGACTGTGGGTCCACGAGTATATACACAATAGTGTTTGAGAAATTTGTGATCATACAGTTGGCTAATCAGTGTTCACAGGGTTTTCCCGATGAGATTCCGATAAACTGGGGCCCCATGTTGCGAAATATATTGGGGAAGGATGCGCTTTAATAACAGTGTTTTACTGAGTCGGTTATTCAATTTTGCCGGGGAACTGAAAAGCCGAAGGAAATTGCTTGACAGGCATTCAGTTAGAAGTGACCGAGGGTACTGTTCAGAAATATTGAATTTATGAAAATCCGTTTGGTGAATAGAGCTCTTTTACTCCTCTGATTGGTGTGTGTGGAGTTAAACACCACTGGATCACACTCACTGTCGGGATGTTCTGGCAGACCACGATCTAGTTTTATTTGTTGGTCAGCTGCGCACAGTCTTGACTTTTAGCGGCGTTAATGGGTGCGGTCAGGTTTTATTATCATCAAATTATCGACGCATCATTATGAAGCCATATTTTTCAGAAAGACGCCCGATAAAGTAGTTCTATCGCAACATGCTTAAACTAACAAAACAAATAAATCCGCGTAAAAGATTAAAACCCCACTCAACGCGCGGGGTCCACTAGAAAAGTCACACAATCAGGCCGTAAAAAAGCACCAATTAAACCAACAGCGAAATCTGGTAAATTCCAGAATAGCGGCCGCAGAGGCACACAGCCGTTTCGGTGGCGTTGAATACGGGGAATGTGGTTCAGTGTCACGAAAGATGCACGGAATACGTGAACTTGTACCGGTAACGAGTCATGCTCCAAACACAGAACCAATGAGTATTCATCAGTCAAAGCACCACGGTACAGCGCCATGATTCCTAAACTAACGATTAAGTGTCATGGCGTTCACGGGGACAGAGGACTCTGGCTTTCTGGAAGAGGATCGGCTACATATGCGAGTGCTTTATGGAAGCGATACTTCCTCGGGGATGTGCTGTGCGTATCGTCATGGAGAATAGGCGTACATGACGATTAGCATGGCTCCACAACTGAAAGCATACGGGAGGACAGCTTGTGTCGCACTGTCTTGGGCTATCTGCACGGTGAGGACCGCGATGATAACGACTCTATCAGTTAGGAAGCGTTTGCGGGCCAGATGCTAACTTCGCCGGGTAGTCCAATCAAATTTCAGAAGTAATTTCAGCCTACTGGTATGCCATGCTTTCTTAGCGTCGCCTAGCCATTATTCACTCCTTCATCGAACCCCCTAATATCGATTTTTCTAGATCAGGTACTTTCGGGTTGAGCGGGCCCCTACGTCTCTTCCTATTTGGTATGGAGTGATCTGGCATAAATGGACCTATGGCAAAAAGGGAAACGTTTGCAATATACTCCAAAGTTAGTGGATAGATCTTCATGTCTTTGGAAAAATAAATGGGAAGGAGCTGCGAACTCTAAGCATTTTTAACCGGCGTTTTTCCAAAATCATTTATCCAGTCCGGATTCTAGCAAACGTTAAAGCAGTCTGCTCGTTTCGTGAGTACCGAACTTTCGACGGTGCAATTTCTGGTACTCTCAGTAGTGCCGTTTTGCTGCCCTGCCGTACAGCAGCAGAGCAGCCGAATTTAGGTGGAAGTACTCCCACAATAAACCCCAACAAGAAACGATGTATAGCAGTTTGTTGGGTTATCGAAGTAGACGGGTGCATTGTTGCAAGGCCTACGGATATCTGCTTTTAGGCTTGAGTAGGAAATGTTGGTCACACTGCTAATACAAGCAGCGACCGTCCCGTTTACGCCCTTATTTACATAATGCATGCCAACGTGTTGAAAATGGTTCAGTATGGCCACGAGGATAGTTGACTGAAGTAGTGTTCATACGGGGAGCATGGTCTGTGCGGGAACACATTACGATAAGTTAGACTGCCCCACCATTGGATACTATTTTCACCACACTGCTGAAAACATTTCCCTCTCATCTTCAGTTGTGAAAATGGAGGGTCCCCAAGCCAAAAAGATTAGGTGGCCGAGGTCGAAATTTAAGAAGCAGGCCTTTAGTTCCTCAATTTGGTGACTTCTGCCCTGGTTTGCCTCCTGTAAACGACTCTCTGGTGTCAAACGCTACTAAACTTGAGCCGCAACAAGTATTTGAGGAAGCTCCTTGAAGCCTGTCGCAAGCAATCAGAAGCGTTCCGACGCTAGCCAGAAATAGTTTCATCAATAAAAAAGCGAAGGCTGGCAGGCTCGTATCGATTTCAGTTCCTACATACAGACTACACAGAAAACTGAGCGCTAAAAACTGCGTTTAGGGTTGATGCAGATCAGAGAATGCAGAGACACTGTGTGGGAAACCACAGAGACAAGGACTTCAAGGCAGTTTGGATATGGGAACGAGTCGGGGAAGTTCAGCGTGTATGGGTGTGAGCCACGTGACAATTTACAACACATTTGGCACGGGCCTATCAGCTACCATGCTCGTTACCGGATCGGCCCAGCATAACTGCACTTGCCTTCGGACATTCCTACACTGCAAACTCAAAAACGACTCAAGCCAGCAGATGAATACTTGTCGCTATTGTGTCCTAGCTAATAGTCCTACTTGATAAGACAACGCACCTCTTAGCAAACGACATTCGCGTTGACTGGAATCTTATGGCATCCTACACGCTTGCATTACCTGCTTGCATATTACAAATGATGGCACGAATACCACAAAAATATCACCTGATTACGATAGAAAAAAAGGAAGAAGGAGTACAAACATGATATTAGAGCACTGATCCAAAAATAAGATCATTGTCATAAAAGTGGTGAATTCAGTTAGATCTCCAAACAGTGATCCTTTGCTTTATGTATGCATACAGTCCATCCGGTTTATCTCGAAGAGTGTTGTCCAAAGTCGACAGAATACTCCACAACTCGGCTGAAATCACATAAGGGAACAAGTCTTTAAATGCATGAAAAGATTGTTTGTGGAACTAAAAGTCTGTTTGTGCATACCTAACAATGGCTTACAAGTGGACGTAATTGCTAACGGAACATAAGCAAAATCTTCTGAGGCACGCAGCCCTGTTCTCTAGGATAGACAGCAAAAGAAAACATCTGATTCAAGCACACCATTACGACATTACGGTGTATAGCGGTCACTTTCCTGTTCCCCTAACCAACTCCACCTAATCTGTCTAGCACATCAGTGCTTACTACATCACGCGACCCTTTAGTTCCGCAAACTAAAAAATCACATAAAAAACCTGTCTCGCTCGCAACCTTAGTCGATATGTACACTGCAATTTCCCATCCATTTTTGTTTACGCGGCTACCGTTTGCGTCACACGCCAGGCTTACGAACTTCAACCACATCAGGTTAAGTTGTATTCATGTTTTCAAACACGAATGGACACCTCCTTCTTCACACTGTACACAATAGATAGGCATGCAACTAGGCCCAAAAACACTCGCGCGCACAGGAGAGGAAGTCAACCGAGCTTCACAAGTCCACGAAAAATTACGGAAAACATGTAGCGGCTACACTGCGGAGAAAACACGTCCCCCCATCAGGACTTTCAGCCAGGAACTCTCACGAGTTATCCACAAACGATAAGTCATTTTTGACTTATTCCATTGTTCTCACCGTATTTATTTTATCATACAGCAACTAGTAACTGTAAACTACTACCTGCCATAGTAAGAACTGTTATTAGTGCATATACCTTCCGCGTTATATTATGGTTATCATAAACAGCGCACTGATAGGTGCATATTCAAACACGCACTGACCTGCATTAACCCGTTTGGAAGCTTCTCAGAAACTGGAGAAGCAAAGTTATTCCTGTTCTTTTGTCTGACATATTACAGTCAACAGCTGAAATTCGCGGCGATCGGTGGACGATTTAATTTACCCACCCAGTTTAATCAGACTTCAATGTACGTGCTTCGTTGTACCATTTGCACGAAGGCAGGTTACACTTCTCTGTTTTCAACTGTATATCCTTGTGCCGTCTGAATACCTACAGTCACTCATTGCTTTTCAAATTGGTGTAACCTAACTGAACAGTAACCAAATTCGGTTTCTTCCGTGGGAGTATTCCTATCACCGGCTTCATTCTACGATAAGCTGGTTCACATTAAGGCGAAGAAGAGTATGAGGGTGCACAGTGAATCCCGATCCGAAATAAACTTTAATATTGCCTTCATTAAGAAGCGCTTCAAAAATTGGCGATACGTGAAACCAAAAAATACGCTACAATATGCTCTTTTGACACCAAGCTCGACCAACAGAATACCAACATTAGCTAACTGTAGTTTGACAGAAACAGAACCCTTCGGCAGTGAGATCTACTGATTGAATTGGGAGAAAACCAGTGTTGACTGTAATTGTCAATGCAACTTCTCACCATAGCACCTGCGAACGGAGTGAGTAATTTTGCTGTTGTTGCAGTAGATAGTACGTTGTGGTTCGGTTGTGGTCAACTTTTCGGCTGTTGAATCCGATTACCATGGGCACACATATTTACCCAACCAGGGCACTTTTTGAAACAGCAACACTAGGTTTGCAAGGAAGTTTTTAAAGCGGGTACAGCGTGAACATCACTGGGTAAGAATTGGTTCAAACTGGTTCAGGACCGTAGGAGGGATGATGTGACCAATTCCGTGGTGATGCGCATCACATCAGACATCCGTTCGAGGCTTTGGTAAAATCAGTCAAATCATCCAAGCGTGAACACGTTCATCTGTTCAGGCACGTGCGTTCAGCGTTGGCAAGTGGACTAATGGTAACATGCTCGTCTCAGGCGCCAGATCTTCTGGACTTAAATCACGGATAAGCACCACTGATGAGGTAAGCCCACCGATTCTTCCCTTGGGTGTGGATAAATCAGAATAGTTGCTCTAGGACTAGAGGGAGATTTGCCAATTGAGAGTGATGCGAATACGATTGACCCTATGTATACTGGCTTTCACATGCGCTTGACTATGAGCCTCGCTGACAGGTCTGACAATTTTTTAATCCCAAGCTTATTGGCCCTCTTTCGCATGAAGAGTTTGTACTCAGAGGTTTCTCTAGGGCAATCCATCTCCCCAAATGCGGAGTTATATTTCACGAGTTCCCGTAACATTGTGATAAAAAGGCCGAAGTGTAACTGCAAAATTTGGGCGAGCTGCAGCTCAGTAGGTCAATGATTATAATCAGCGCAAACGACAAAACACGAGTGACAGACACTGGTGCTTGTGGTACAGATAGGAGAACGTATGGTTAGGAATCAAAGAAAGAAGCGCGGGGACCCGTGAGTTATGTACGTCAAGGGTCAGTACACATTAAATTAAAATAAGTCAAATGGTGGGAGGTAAGAGTGACATTACTATTACAGAGGTGAACTCAAATACAGATAATGTAGGTTGGTTTTTAGTACAGTGGACTAACTGCAAGTTCCGAACCGTGTCGGTGTGATCCAAGTGAGTTAAACTGCTGGATGGCGTAAATGTGGCCCTCTTTAGGCTCAAGAATCACAATCATCATTATCGGTTTTAGGAACCGCGAACTTGTGTACAGTGTTGTACAGTGGTTGTAGCTGCCGCAGTTTCGTCCACCGGTGATGTGGGGAGGTGAGGTAAATAGCTGCGCATTGGAGGCGGGAGCTGATGAATCGGTGCGTAAATACATAGCTGTCAGTGGACTGGCAAGTGGAGTATTGGGAAGGGAGCTATGCACTGAAGGCAATAGCTTGGATGCACGGGCGCCATTGAGAGCGTGACTGGGCCATATCTGACAATACCTCTAATCGTTGATGTGGCTCTTCTTAGGGTCCCCATCCAGGAAGACGACAATGACCAGCGCAACTGAGTTCACAGGTAATGGCTTTTGTACTTCGCTGCCAAGCTGTTGTTGTTTGACTTCCCTTGGTTCGTTTCCAACCCTTCGCGTGGTTCTGCAAACAGAACTCTTCGAGGAAGTTGGTCGACCGGCATAAGACATTAGTTCAGTTCTGTGTCTATGCTCAGGAAAGGAACGACTACCACCCGAACTAACAGGCAGTCCTGCTTTCATTTTCAATAAAGACCGTCAGTGTAAGTGCATAACATCCGAGGTTGGTTGGTACTGGACTCCTCACTCTTAATCCCTTTATCAGTCGTGAAGCAGTGGTCTTCGACACCTGTCTTTCCGTTAATGGGCGGATCGAAGATGGACCTTAGCCAAGAATGGGCAAAAGATCAATAAGGGGGACGTAACAAACGGCATTCAGCAACTCAGCGATTCGATGAACCTGTGGTAAATGTGACCTAAAATGACCCCGACCCCCGTAAAATCACGGTGCCGATCTAAGCACGTTGAAGTGTGATCTGGTGCGACACCACATATTCGTGTTGTTTGTAGTATGATAAAAAAATCAGTTGACTCATAAACACAAAGTGGTGAATGGTTGTAAGTGGACTGCGCAAATGGTCGACAACTCACGGGCAGGAAACGAAATGAACATATCAAGTCGATTAAAAACTCACCGACAGTTACTGAATTCGAAGAGAGGAACATATACATGTCGTATAACTTTGCCAACAAAGCTTTGTCTCCAAAGGTGAAGTAGGCGAGTGATTTACCAGCCTGGACACATGCCATCATTTGGATGAGGGCTGAAAGAAGGAAAAAGTATTAACGACTATAGGGTGAGTTAGACAGTGTGGTATCCGATTCCGTACACGGACGGCTATCACTGTGGATTGCCGAACAAGTTAGGACAAACGAAATTATCTGAGTAAAATCAATCAATACGTTGCATGGTCACTACAATCAATAAACTTGAAAGCTAGTTGAGAGTCCAGCTTCGTTTTTCTGAAAAAGCCTCACTAACCAAGTAAAGTACAAACTAGTTGAGTACTACTACCAACAACAACTAGTTTTCATTTACCACAAGTGTCGCAATCTAAATACCGATGAATAGTCCGGTAACTATTCACAGCTCTTCACGATGCTCACGGAGGATTTGATAATTGTCCTTGGGGTTTTTACACGAGAACACATTGAACCCTAAGATCAGACATCAGGATTCCGTTTCATTCACTTGGTCCCAGACGGAGCAAAAAACGTAATGAATTGCTTTCCGGGTAACGACCATGGTTGCAGTGCGATCATCATCTGCAGAAATTTAATTCCGTCTTTTGCCAATGATCAGGTCTCCTGTAAGGATCAGGAGTTAGACGACTAGTCGAACTTTTTATCGGTATTTGGATCCCTAACGAATTCGACGCGTCGCCACAGACTTGGAAGATTGCAGACAGAAGTGGTTGATCCTCAAAAAGCAACCAACTACGCTTTCCGTTCTGATTAAGAATCATCAGATGGATCTATCACGATTTGACCGCCCATGTTCAGGTTAAAACGTGAACCTAAAAATGTGCGCATGGTGAGTACAGTTTAAATGTGACAGTTGTAACGAGTCCCGCTACTTCACGGCGGATAGATTTTCCAAGACCGGCCACCTTCGTCCAGTGATGAGGCAACATCTCTACTTATGCACCTGCAACAGCTCCACCAGCCATCTCGCTAACGCACATAAACTAAGCAAGACTGCAAAGGTGCCACTCTAAAATCCAGCTGAATGGCCCACATGTCTTGTTTTCTCCTAATATAATTAATTAAAGAAGTCGTCGAATATGTCTGAATCATGTTGCAGACAGTCGGCAGCCCAATGATTCATATTAGTCATCGTTTGACGTGTAACTGGATTGTTCGTATCTCCAAAGTTTCGATACGGTTCAAACCAATCAGGTGACCTGCAAGGTCAGGTCCTGGAAGAGCAGATCAAAACCTCGAATCCTGCACAAGCGGACGTACACCGACGACTTACTCTATTAGATTTCACGTAAAAAAATGGTGCTTGATGTGACATCGAAACTAAGATGAACAAAATCACTGGCACTCTTACAATATAGATTTAAAATTCTGCCTGAACTCTTTGTCTTTTTCAATAAACTTAAACATATGAAGCATCTGGGTCACCTGTCCCAATGCATCTGGATGTCTGGAGGTGATTACGTGATTCCCGATATTCTTCAGCCACTTCAAACCTTTGGTTGTTGTAGGCGAAATGAAATTTCGTAGATGGTTTGAGTCACGATCTTCCTAGTTTGTAAGCTTGGCAAAATCTTCAGTTTCTGAAGCAATAGTTAATACTCAAAACAGTATGGATGATACCGCTCAGCAATGTCCTTCGAAGTTAATCTTTCTGAAAGAGGCCTTCATCCACTTGAGTAGTATTTTCTGCGTAAGGTAATGGCCCAACCCAAATTTCGGAAACATGACTTAGTCATCGAATCCAAAACCCTCAACTAAGTGCAGTCACTTGACTGCATTACAAGTCGAAACTTATGTTGCTGAAAATGAAGTAATCTAACCTTTCCAATAGTTTCACAATTACTGTACAAATTCATAAAGTATCTCAAGAAATTCACTAAGTGATAAATTTTCACGGTCTTTGTAATTACAGATTCCAACAGATACAGTTGCCCTGTTGTGTTGGGAGGCATGAAAATTGGGTCTACATGCCATACTAGTGCCATTATGGGCACTCTAGTTGTCCAGCAGTAAGATTACTCGCCAGTGTTTGGAAGCTTGTTGGGTGCTTTCGCCTTTAAGTCAGCTAGAGGTTACTGGTAATGCAAGATTTTGGATTCGAGATCCACAGGGTTCCCGGAGAACTTTGAGATCGCACTTTCACCACCGACTAATGGAAACAGCTTCTCATCTGTGGAACTTGTATCAAACTGGATAGGAACTGGTATACTTATAATAATCACTATGACAGATTTTCTTCGACTGGTAGACTTTACCCTGAATGTGGTGGCTAAAGCTTCTGGGTGCATTTTTTTGTCAGACCAGTATTTTCACGATCTACGGTATCGTTCATTGGTACCTGCCGCACTTGTGATTGCGGTGGGTTCAGTGGCTGATCGTCATGAAATCGACAGGCTGTGGTGACTTCTTTATGGTCTTTTTGGGGAGTTGATTAACTTTCGGTGGTCATTTTGCGGACTACGTCAGAGTGATGCGCCCCAGACTGTCCACACGTTGCAGCGTCGGAACCGATATAGATCAGGTGTTAGTATCGACCTTAAGTTTCTGCAGGATCAACTCCGGGTCCTGTTCAATTCAGTCCAGTAGCCAGGTCCAAAGATCTCCATCGAAGGTCAGGCGACTGAAGACCAACCAGGATGATGAAATACTTCAACCGATACTCAGTAACTCTGTTGATCATGAAGCGCTCACATTCCCTGTTGACCACACCAGCGTGTGATCTCTCCGGCATCCAGCTTGGTAATGTTGACACACTAACAGTGAAAATCACACAAGTAACTCGACTCAGCGAATAGTTGGACCAGGGTTGCGATGGTATCTGTGAAGTCAGGGTGACGGAACAGCTTAGAGTGTGCAATTTGTAAACCGATCATGATCAGCTGCCCCCGGTTTCCACATCAACAGCTTCTATCGGGAAGCTACAAAATCTAGCTATGGTGCTTACAGATATCTTTTTCCGGACCACAGGCCAAAACTGAGCGAAGGCTAAAACCCGGCAGCTGAGCAATATATTATTTTGTCCAGTTTCACTCAGCCGAGTCGCTAACCTTACTGGACCATATGAACTCCAGTAGCCTGCTTGGTTGACTCAGGTGAGCGTTACGAGAGCTGGATAAGGAAAACACTTTGCACCAACTGAGTCAAAGTGTCGAAGGTGCCTCGCTCACGAGCTCTGACAGCAAAACTCTCTCATCTCTACAGGCCAGAGGTGTAGACAGCCGATGGATTGCTTCTTCACACACAGAAGCACATTTGGCCAGTCGACTGTCTCACAGCTAAGCATCCCTTTGGGTACATGCAATGAGGGTACTAAGTGAAAAGTTTACTTTTCACCAGGCGTACAGGCTAACATCCGTCTAAAGAACCCAGTCACGTAGTGGACAGGCAGTTAAACGGAAAATTCAGTGTAAGAGTTGGGGAAGGAAAGCGCTGAAATAACTTTCCACTCATCCATGTAAAAGGTCACGCCCAGGTCACGCTCCACCCAGCGTTTCGGCCGATCCCCAGACTGAGTAGAATTAACCGTGTGACAGTATGACAACAATGATGTTAATTTCATTTCCCAAGTTAATCTGCATGGACCAGCCGCTGATTAGCTGGTTAGTCGCAGTTTTGTTTAAACAGTTGTGGATATTACCTAGTGGCCTACCACTGAACTGATATTGGGATCATGTATGTCTAGAAGATTATTCAGAAAGCGTACCATGTTTGGAACATTTCATGGTGCTCTGCGGGTTTTTGTCTATTGGAGAAGGCCTATGTTGAAAACATTCCCATATGTACTAAGATCACTTCCTCCTGAGAGGTTACTGCCCATTGGCAACTCTCCCACTGAAAGATTGCTGTATTCAGTGGGGAAAAGATTGTGTGGTTCCGTGAATGAGTGTTTCACGTTAAAAGACAGCTTATTGCAATGGGTTAAAGGGGTAGATTCGAGTAGTATGTAGCAACAACACGAAAAGCACAAGAATACATAATGGCTAAGAGTGTGTCCAGCGGAAATAGCAATAAGCACGCGCCATCATCTAGCATCGGTCAAAGATAGCATTCCTGGTAATGTGGAACCATAACCTCCAGATTGGAAGATGCGAAAGACCAGCAGATGTAATTTCGTCTAACACAGGTCTGAAAGGGTAACGCTATAGATAGCCCGACAAGAGAACAGGCCTCAATCCGAAACATTTAATTCAGTGAATTTGAATTACTCAACAAATTACAGCGTCTTCAACAAAGAAAAGTTTATGCGGCACAAACATTTTAGAGCGTTCAACTAGGCAATCTTTTGACTACTTTGAGTATGTGTAAATTCATCCTTTCATTCACTCTTTGTGAAAGGATGGTGGCTAGAGATGATAAGACAGCTCCGAAGAGTCCATCGGACAACAACGAGTAGCGGCAAGTTTAAAACGCGTCGTACAATTTCTGATCGCCCAACTGTTACATGAACCACTTCAGCTATTGATCGGTCAACCCAGGATAACTTGACATGCACGGAAAGACCGTTTAAACCACATTCGTCCAAACAGTTTACCTTACGTACGACGTTCCATACACAATTGCACGAAGATGGTAGTCAGCAATATTTGGACTTGTATCTGTGTACGGACCTTTGTGAGATGGACCTTTCTTAACCATACTGAAAAGATCAACCACATCCACCCAACCGCGTACTGACGTGGTCTCCTCGACCGGTGCGGACTGCCAAGTTCAGCGAAGGAATCAAAAACTGATCGATCACGCTGAGTGGGGACAATAATTTGATACATTAGAATAGGACGAAGTAAAACAATGCTACAAGAGACGTCCTTTTTGGAATTCGAAAAACACGATGCGGCTGAACCGCAAAAAGCTCAGTTTCATTGGGCTCTTTCAATTGTATTGGGGTGCATCTGGTACTAGGTGATCTCACGTTGCACGTTGTAAATGCAGACAGAGGTATCTAAACAACTCACAGATCGTTTCTTACTGTTTGCATGGAGCGGGATTCCCGTGAATTCAACATGCTTAATGCTAGGAGCTGTTCAAAAAATACTTCATTTGTGAATGAGCTGAAAATCAATCATACCAGCGAAATCGAATCCAACATTTAGAAACCCAAAACTGGACAAATGGACAAACCTAGGCGTGCAACAAGATACCTAAAGCACCCAGACGGGCGTAAAGCACGACTACGGTCTCGTGAAAAGCATTCGAGATCTGCTGAGATTGCCTACCTTTTAAGTCGACGTTTCCCCGGAAAGCACCACAACCCCAGTTGCCAGTGGCCACTACCGGTGGGAGTTTACGTCCAGGGGCAAGGTCATCCGTGAATCCACAGTAAGCCTGAAAAATGAAACCAATGTCACATTGAAAACCCGCGAAACGCAAGTGGATAAAACTAGGAAGCTACCATTACTCACCTTATTGAGTTCGCGCTGAATCATTTCGGGTGTGAACTGGGCTTTAGGGGAAGAAAAATATGTAGCATCTATGGCCACTACAGTGGTCTTCCATCGACACCATTCATCTCTGGAAGGAGAAACAGCGCACGTATAAATGCTATGCGAAATAGTGAGATGGTATGGAATAGAAGGTCATTTGGTGTATTATTGTTAGGAAGACAAAATACGTAGAAAGCGAGGGGGAAAAAGAACAGATGTCTTCGAATCGCCGATATCCCGCGTACAAGATAGCTACCTGACGGACAGGCTCTACATGGCACAATCCATATCAGCTTATGCCAATCACTTTAAGCAGATAGGCTAATTCAACGTCTGGCTCGGTGTGTTAGGGGCTCACTTGTGGTACTGGTGGTCCTCGCTTATTGATTTTTCAAACAGATGCATGACGAACCCCATATGAAAACTAAGTGTGATGATGAGCAACGTACTCTTCAGCACCCGTCGAGCGGGAGGGAGGTCGGCGGTGTTAGTTCAACTCCAACTATTCATTTCGTTGCCACCTTGTGTAATTTAGCTTATCGACTAAATGGGACACTAAGGATCAGAGATAAACTGTAAAGTGCGTAGCTGAAAAACACAGCAGTAAAGAAACATGCTGGCGGCTGACCAGGACTATTGCAGCATCTCTGAGCACCGAATACGAGAACAAGATGTGTGTGACTCCCTCAACAGTCACAAAGACCCTGGCGGTTCATAATTGGCTACTACACACTTCGTAGATCGAATGAAGCGCTACTGAAACCTGAACATGGTGGCTGCATTTGCTAAGGTGTGGGAGATATATGTTATATAAGCCTTCGCCTAATGGGGCATTCCCGAAAGCGTGTGTTCGTTACATTCTTTCGCCTCGGGTCAGTAGCGTTTGTGTCCGAGTGGTTCTGTCGAAGATCAAAACTATGGTACAGCTAAAACTGTTCAGAGTGGAACCATACTCTTCAAAACGGGGTCCCCAGCCACGTGAAATGGTTAGTGTGAAATGACGATGAGGGTTCTCCTTAAAACCGCATTTGAGGGAATACCCTTGTTCAAGATAACCAGAAAGATCACCTGTCTAACAAGGTGCGGCTGTCATTTCCTTTAACTCCACTCTCACTACATGGGAGCATTGAAACTGGTGTTGACTCGGAAGTTCCTTCCACAACCAAGCCGGAACGGAACAGACCTGGGAAGATAATATTTTCGTTCCAAGACCATATAAGAAACCAAAAGAAATTACCGCAGCGGTTCAATGAGTATTCTGTGAAAAGTATCTGGGCTATACAGGATCACTCATGTTGTTCTTCAGGTCGGATAAATCAACCATAAAACTTACCTTCTGGTTACGGGAACAACCACGTTCCTGTATAAATCATCCTTCTCTGGGCACTTTAATTCCTCACTGTTGCTTAATGATATGCTCCTTATTTCGCAATAGATAATAACACTTAACATGCGGCCATGGTGTTCCGATTGTCGTCTTGCTTTGATATGGTACAGAACACTAATCCACTTTAGTGAAAAACAAACATTAGCAAAAGCACCCTACCGTCAACAACTCATTCGAAGTGCGCTCGAACATAAGCTCAAAACAATTCATCACGCCATAAGCTGTTATGTGCGCCTAGAACTCGGTCCATTCCGCTTTACTGAGCAAGTCACATGTGAATACCGAGAATACCGATGAAACTCAACCACTCCTACTGTGCACACTATATTTCTGCCTGAGTGGTATTCAGTGGTTACAGAGCTTCCTGACAACTACTGGAAGGTTTTTCTAGAGCACGAAGAATTCACAAGAAAAAGACAGTGCCAAAACATGCTCATTTCAGTGTTTCATATGTGAAGGAAGAACCTTTCGTGGCCAGCCAACATAAATCCACAACTCACGAACTACAGCCAGGATGAAGGCTGCTGTAAACCCTACAAAGTTACGGCAAATCGGTCAGTTAGTTCAAGCATGCGAGACGGAGATGAAAAAAAGTGCACCATACCCACAAAACGAAAACATTGTTGCAAAAACCGCAAACCAGCTACAACAAGATGTGTCAATAAGCACCTCTCGGGGTTTACGACAAAACAGTTGGGACATCATGTAGATGCATCACAAGCTGTCGGATTCGACTGGAAGCATATACGTACACTGTACTGAAATGTGAAAATAGATTTGTTCGCTTCTGGTTATTGTTCGATTCGAAACAATCCCCATCACCATTTTGGAACAGAACAGCTCATCTGATGACCGAAAGTTACGACTTGTCAAGACCGAGGTCGAAAACGGATTGAAAACGCAAACACGTAGAAGCGCGATAGTGAGATAAATGAGTAAGTAGAGGACTACGCACCGTTCCATGCCCGACTGTGATTCGGTAAAATCTCCAGTCCATTTGAAAGTATCAGCATAACCCGAGGATCGTGAATAGGTTTCCGCACCTTCAATCAGTACCGCCTCGTCATCACCCAAGCACTCGACGAACAAACAACTGGCCAGCAATTCTGGGCGGAGAACGAACATTATTTCTTCTTGAACACAGCCAGAACTGAGCACACCGCCACCCAAAAACTTGTTGGCAAAATCCACCTGGAATCAGTGAAGGAAAAAGGATTGTTAGAAATATCGTGATTGCATACTCGAAAGAGGAACAGTAATACCGCAATTTCCGTCGGCCCGGTGAACTGCACAGACATTCTGTGAAAGCGACAACGAACTCTATGATGTACCTTTTATCCTCTGTAACTGTCAGTGTATATGACTATTGTAAATGGACGGGGCTTTTTATTGGACAAGTACAGCACGGCATCAACTGACAGTGATTTTCAGCATCGGCATGATCTAAAGAATATGAATAGTTCCTCCACTAACAGTGAATCCTGTCCAAATGTCCAGTTCACACTCATGTTCAGATAAGTGGTTGGTTTATTCTATTGAGCTATCAAGTAGAGCTGACCCAAGAAAATAGCACACAACAGTAAAGTTTAGCTTATAAATTCAGCGATTTGGAGTGATCAGAGCAAACAGCGTCTGAAGATATGGGTAGCATAAATTTTCGGGATCGATCAGCATCACGCTTCACCTTTTCTGCTCCGAGTGGAACACTGGAACTAATGCAGCACTAGTGCAATTGTGACAACGTCGGTTAGATCGACCCAGATAAAGGCTGCAAAGGCAGTGCCACTAATGCTATAAGACTAAGACATGATAAGCGATTCGCGAAAAGCAGCAACTCTGGCTCCTTAGCAAAGAGCAAACCGGTGCGATAGTACTGCTACGAAACGATCCTCCATATGACGACTTCATACCCACTAAAACTACATAAATGTATGCACCGGTTGCAGGATGGGGCTTGTTAGTCTTTCTGAAATACAACCGCGAATCTGACAAGACCGGAATGGCCTTAAAGAAACTACCACACCATTGGCCAGTAATTCGAAATAAACAGGATGACACAGAGTCCGCTTTAGACAAGACAGTTCAAGAACATCGAACCTGTAGCGTGTTCACACCAGCTTCTTCGATCGTGCTCTCAGAGTTGATATGTATCCGCAGCTGATCAAACGTCCTGGTGCTCTTCGACCAATCCGGGACCAAGTTACCGAGACACCGTCGTGTGTAGGTAACCGTACCAGTGGGTACAGTCTGAGTTACACGATGGAAATAATGAAGTAGGCATCGGATTTTCTCACGTTGGCTGTGTCTAAAATGTGTATTATTAGAGTTGATACGTGATATAAAAATGAGATAAGATAGTCGTTTAGCTGTAACCTCCTTTCAGTGCCTAGTTGCCATGCCACACGAAGAAAGCACGAGGGTTGGGATACAATCAGGTTGCCCAAGCCTAAATAGGAGAAGTCGGCACGCAGAGGTCGGATGCAAACAACGGACCTTCCAGTCAGCAAATTCGCATTCTATCCGCAAATGACGCTAGGTATGGGGTGAGGTATAACAGGATGAACTACAGCACTACCGAGTATTCTTTCGGGGTAAATCAAGTTGACTTGAGGACAAACGAAACGGTTATGCGTGCGAATGTCATATGTCGGTGTTATAACGCTAAAGTGTCAATACTGACAAACACCGGGATTTGATAATAATTTAAAGGTCGTGAGTATACCCTACTTCGGCTAGCTATATTACATGAAGACAGACAGCGAAAGATAAAGGTGGTCGTTGATCTGCTCAGCGAGCTTGGCAGCTGGGTTGCACCCGAACTGCCAATATTTCAATACATTTCCAGTGCGAGATGAAGACGTAATCGAGAGTTTGGGCGATGAAAACAATGAGCCGAGTGTAGAAAAAAGCCGGTCAACTATTCAGAATAGGCAACTAAATACAAGAGTTTCATTGGTTGTCTGACAGCTCAACGGCGTCGTATGCAATGGACAGAAGACATAGACGTAGATGGACGTTACGAAACGGCAGAAATAACCGAGAATCTCAGAGTAAATAGAATAGGGGGTGCACAGTAATCAGGCGTGCGAAGAAGGCTTTTATATTAAGCAAGTTGACGAATGGAGTTTTGTGGTGTGCTTCTACAGTACGAGGCCTAACACGACCAAAACTCATTTATTCCCCCTAGTCCAATCGTTCTAACACTAACTCGCCCACAAACACCAATGAAAAAGTTGTGAACGAAAGGCCGTGAGAATTTTCAGCTAAATTGTTTTGCATCTGAAAACCCCCGCCACATGCGCGTAAGGTCGTCCCCTAGCACATCGGTCCTATAACTTACTCACCCACGCTGGCTGAGGACACGTTTGGTCGGTATCTCACACCTCTTTAGTCTGCCGATTGATTCACAATCTACCATTCATTGGTATCAAAGCGATACGTAGCCGGCTGCCACACAAGTTTTTACGAAACGACGTTTCGATCAGTTCCATGCTTTTTCCAAGTTGTTTGAATATCAACTGGTGCTGCCAGTCGGTGGATTCAAAACAAGCATATTCAAATGTTTTGGAGTACTGATAACTGATAAACAGCATACGATAACTTGGCAAGAATTTGTGGTGGAGTTAGTGGGCAGATGGAAAAAGCCGAAAAATACAAACGCTGAACTGAGGCACCTATTTGGGTGCAGAAGCCGACGACCGAGATATTGCGATCAAAAATACATGGTCTGTAGTCCGTATTTTAAACTGTTATTTATCTTCTACAGAGGTGACAGTACTGATGCAAAGGCTGCGGTAAGGCTCAGAAACGGAATACGGATGACATAAACGTCACTGAGAATAATTCAAGTGGACAGTGCAGGTCGAACATTTCACTACTACTAATTCGTACACGAACGTGTGAATAAACCGATCGCTGCTTACTGATCACTTACTCTCTGGATAGTGAATATCTATTCTGTGGACCGGAAAATAAACGAGAAAAGTTAATGAATGGGAAACGGGCGAATTCAGCATTGCGTCCGCGACTATTTCGTCGAGGAAACGTGCAGAAGAAGGCATTTGCTAGAAGGCTAGCAATCTGAAGCTGTGAGAACGTAAAGGACATCTCACAACCACTGCGCATCAAGGGGATTGGCTGAAACGAACAGGTCAAAACAGGCTAGGTTAGAAGAAGGAACTTCTGGTGAAAGCGCAGATAGGGTCTTTCATGAGGACACGGATCAAAAACACGAAAATCGTATAAAATAAAGCTGTATTCACATGGACTTGCTACCAAAGGCTGAGCTATAGGTAAGTTTTAGCGAGCCACCCGATAAGTGATGGGTGAATTTCACAGCTAGACGACAAAAACCAAATGTACATCGAATGGGTGGAATCGATCAAAACTGATCGGACACGTCACCGATTGGTGCAGTGGTCAACTACTAGCTGGAAGTTCGAAGACTGCCATTCTTCTAGGCTACGCAACGTGACTCACATCACCCCATTGTGTGGGCTCGCTTATCAGTCCACCCTCTCCTAGGATTAAGCATGCTGAAAGAAAACAGTTGAGCTAACCGAATTAAACGAACTTTAGTAGTTCAGAACTATCAAGGTGGTCTGGTTAGAAAGCAACTAGACACGCAGTCCAGTTGATGAATAAGATTGGCTGGAAGATGAATGCGAGAGTAAAAGAAGTTATGCTCTCAGCTTTCAGGACTGCCTGTCCATGCCATCCGACTCGACCACATGAACGCTAGATACCGTCGAGATCCTCAAATATAACTGCTGCTAAAAAAGCGATAGCAGAAAGTAGTGGACACGGTAACATACGCAGATCCCTCAAATGCCACGTAATCAAAAGTTTAAAGAATGACAAAAAGCTGGTCGGTTGCAAAGGCCCAGGAGGTAGAGAAGACTATCACAGCGGGCAACAGCTGGAGCATATCTAAGCTAGTTCGATCAACCAGCCTAAAGAATATGGGTATCAGGGGAGCAATTTGCAAAGATGGGACGGTCGGTTTAGGCGACGGGCTGAACAATTTAAACCAACCCTTCAACAAAACTTTGGAAGAACCAAACTAGACCAGACACCACAGAAATTCGGCGTTATATATTATTCCTCTAACACGACAGATCATCCGACCCAGATGGTTTGCACTATACATTTTCCAAAGGTAGTGAAGCCCTGAGAAGCAGTCTGGCCATCCTATTGCGGAAGACTTAGAGAAAAGAATATCAGTGGAAGGGAATGTTTCGACTGTGATCCCAATCGTCAGAAAAGGACATGAGAATGTCACGTGAAAATCCTCGAGGCATTATCCTGGTACCTATGGTATTCAAAGGGCTCTAGGGATATTTTGCGCAGGTTGATTCATTGCCAGGAAGGACAGATTCGTGAAGACCAGGCTGGTTTTTTCAGATCGAAGGTGCGTCGACCATCTGGAGACGGGCTCCCAAACAGCGTCACTATTTCAAACGCCCAGCGACGGCCGTTTTCATCGACCTGAAGGCTGCTTTCGATTCTGCAAATCAGAAACTTTGGCGGTGCCTGGCGATTAACGGTGTCTCTGCCAAGTTTGTATCCCTTATTGGAGCACTGTACGCGAAATTTTGTGGTCGCGTGCGGGTATAAGCTTTTCCTCGAGTTCACCACGACCAGTATTGTAAGACAAGGCAGCCTGCTTTTAGCGTTCCTTTTAAACTTTTTGTTGACGTGTTCCTTGAAACTACTCTGTATGCCTAGAAACCCTCGAGGGTTGAAATGCTTTCGGGGCGTACGCTCACATACACTGAATACGCAGACGTTTAAAGGCGACCCAAGTGATCCTGCCATATAATTTACTTTGAATTTCACACTCGAGAAGTGTTAACTCCTGGAACAAGACTGGCTGAGATCAAACCCAAATCTTGTGCATTCAGATCAGTTAATCGAAGTGCTAAATACATCTATTTACCTGGGTAGTTGTATAGGTTCCCGGAGGGAACGACGGGGAGAAGTACGACAGCTAATATATTGCCACATTACTCAAGCCTAGACAGAGGAAGTCGAGAGGCAGAGGTCGGGTTCGAACCACGGACCTTCTCGTCACTAAATTAGCGCTCTAACCACTTGGGCCATCTCGCGACGCATAATATATTATGGAACAGAAACGTGGTCTATGTGCAAAGGAGACAAACGAAAGCTGTGTTTGACCACCTGAGTCTTCGAAGCGCAATTATGTCATAGCCTCCAGTGACTGGCTTTATCTCTCGTGCTCTCACAAGTCCTAGCGACTGAAGCTGTAGCGGCTGGAAGGAACGTAGTCTCCATAAATGGTTTATAGCTGATGAACAGAAAACTACTGAACCTGGATTCGGATTCCTCTGAGGAATCATGAGATACGCACAGGTGATAACACCCAAAATGCACGAAACAGTGCTTCTGGTCTTTTAACATAGGTTGACTTCAAGTGCAAGACCATTTCTCAGCCGAAATTCAAGAGAGCGATGGGGTAAATGACGAAAAGTAAATAAAATTTGGGGTTCACCACTCGATGTGTGTGAGATACCGTTTCTCGTTGGGAAACGTTAAGGACACAGTTGGAGCTTGGTTGACCTCACTAGTATGGATGTGTGAATCCCAATGAACAGTATGATGGCATTGAAACCCAACGATCCGATGGTCACCTTAAATTCGACGGTAGGACGTTATATCCGAATACAGCCCGGTTGTCGTTTCACATACAAATTTGTAAGTAGATACCACAGACACCACGGAACCCGTTAAATAACAAGAATGGTGTTCATGCGGTCGATTGCCATTCATGACATTCAAATTTTCTGGGCGAGCCCTTTGGGGAGAAGGTACCTAAGAATGGTAGTGGTAAGATAACACAAGGTTCTCTCCCAGTCTACTCTTTTCTTGTTTCTACTGTAGACATTGTTAAAATATCCAATATGCGGTTGTTCGGTGGCGGGGCATTAGTGTCAACAATAATGTTGCTTTCTGCGATTAGAGTGGGTCTCTCAGTTCAGCTCCTAGCTGCAAGGTCTGGTGGATACAGAGTGTACACCAGGAAAACGAAATTTGAGAAGTGGATCTGTCTGCAAAAAAATCGACGGTAATTAGAGCGAATACGTATTGCTAGTTAGGTGCTCCGATTAGGAAAGATGGTGAATGAAGACCTGAACACTCGAGAAAACCATGAACACTTCTTACCTGAGTGAGGTAGATAGGTAAATTGAGTGCCAAGGCACACATAGCAGGGAGAGAACCTCTGAAAAACCCTCCCAAGCTGCCATCTGGAACATCGTTTTCAACAACATCACGAAGAATGCTGAAATTCCAGGCCGATTTAAACCGTTCGTTGTAGGAAAGAATGGCATCCTAGAAAAAACGAAGGGATTATATGGCATCTCCACACGGGGCAACAATAGGTTTCAATGAAACTGAATCATTTGAGCAATGTGTCACGATTACGGATTGGTCGGTAGAAAAAAACAGCGAGAGGGATTGACACCGTCAATCCGACGTCTCGAAGATTGATCTTCACTTCTGCCTTCTACCTTTCATAATCAATCCAAGAGACGGGAATCTTTTTATTAAGCATTCTAAGGTTGTTAAGGATAACATGATGGAAGTATAGCTCATTGGTATGATATCGAGCAGAATATAGGGAATGGATACAAAGGCCAACCAGTGTCTAAAATGTGCACTGAGGCAGTGGAAACTGGATCGATATTTGTCGACTCCATGAAAGGTTTCGCCCGACTGGGACCGGCCGAGCAGATATAGTCTCAAATTTTCGATTGAAGTGTTCCTCATCTGAGCACCACTCCGTACAAATGTACAACAGGTTGCTCATTGCACAATGAGCTGGCGTAAGCATGAGATTGAAACCAAAAGCCAAGTATAAAGACTGTAAAAGGTCAATGAAGCTAACAGTAAAAATTTCGAGGTTTCCTTAATTATTTGTATTGCTAATCGAACACCAAGGAAACCAACGATAGCGAGTGAAACATAACAGCATACCTGTAGCTGCTGGAAAGAATTAATGGGCTCCCGAAGTTTCCTCTCGATGAGAGTCCATCTGACAACCAAATCCTTTTTCCCGTTCTACAAATATTAGGTATGTGAAGTTTCACACCTCCATGATCGGATAAAGGCTTGCTGGGGAGCAAGGCATACGGACAAACCGTTCTGACCAATTGTCTGTGTAAGAACTAGGATAGGGGACCCGTGGGTTAAATTCACTCCCAGAACACTAAACCATGATTACAAAACCGGAATACGCCATACCGTGAAAAAAATTCGGTGGCCTGTTCTAGAGCACAGCGTTGGGAGCGGATATGATGGCGATTTTAGCAGCACAAGTGCTTCACCCTAGGTGCACAATGAAAAACCGAAAGAAATCTACCATCCACACTTGTGTTTCTGGAAGATTTTCTGACAGTGTAAGGCTTCCACCGGAAGGAACCACAGAATCTACACGAAGGCAGCTACTTTCTTGACCTGGAGACTGGGGTGACGTGATCGTGGGGGCTATCCGTTCAACAGCAAGTACAGAGGATGGATCGTTACTGGGAGAGCAGGTAATGCTGGAAACAAGAGATGTGGATAAATGAGAATTGTTTTTCAAACCTGTTGCCAACCAAACTTTCTGACAGTGCAGGAGTGATATTGGAAGAAGGTTCAGGCAGAGCTCCAATGGTAGGATCAGGTTTGAACATCTTACCAGCTATGAAGGTTTCGTCCAACCTAGACTGCTTGAGTGGTTTTCTTTCAAACGAACAACCTGGCTCCATAATCACGGTTTCCACACGTAAAGGAGTAAGCTCGAAGCCATGGAACCAAAAACGGATCTGTCCAGGTTAGATGAACGCTTGATTACCACAGCGTCTTTAGGAATCCTGAAAGTGGAAAGTTAAAAAGTCAAATTTGCCATATAAAAAATCGCTCGGCCGCAAGATCCTTTCAATGCCTAGCTGCCATGCCACCCGAATGAAGCATGAGGGCTGAGATACTGCCAGATTGCCCAAGCCTACACGGAAGTCGATATGCAGAGGTCGGATTCAAACAACAGACCGTCCGACTCTAACCT